CCTTTTTGAAACTCAGACCAGCACCAGCAACCCTTCTCTGATGATGATGTGGAAGCAAGTTGTGGAATTCAGGGACGGAGGGAACTGACTCAACTTCATGTTTCAGAACGTTGTGCCAAATGTGTCTGGGAGGACCACCACATTTCATTTATGAAAATGTATATGTATGCCTTTAGGATTTCTGTGAAAGAGGTTTAACATCTTTCTGACTCGGAATAGATGTTTATAGCTGCTTCTTTCTTAATGGTCAGTGCTTCATACATGAAGTCACTGGGGAGATTGCTCTTTAAATATTTAAAAGTGGGGTATGATTCAGGGGAAGGTGGGATCAAAATTGGGGTGGATGTACTTGGCTCAGCCAAGAGAGGCAGCTGGTGTGAGCAGTTGTGAATGGGCAGATGTGTGTGTGTGATGAGGCAGAGTGTGAGTCAGGACTGAGCCTCTGCTCAAAGAATGCCTTTTGCTCCAGTGTGCTGGGAAAATAAAAGCAGAAAGGGGGCCCTGGTGTTTCCTGGGGGGTGAAGCTGGTCTCCTGAGTGGTGGTGGCTGTTGGGAGTGTGCTGATTCACTAGTCAGTGGGTGGTGAGAGCTCTGTGTAAGCTCTGGGGGAGGAAGCAGCTTGGTTGCTTTAGGGAGAAGGAGCATTTTCAGTAACTGCAGGATGTGTGGATGGAGTGTACAGATAGCATATCAGCAGCACATCAGGTAAATGTCCTGGCCTGCCGAGATAAGGATTTACTAGAGGACTAAAATAGGATGTGAAACCGAGGTTTTGAGTCCTGTACTCAAGTAACGCAGCTTTTTAAAGTCACTGAGAGTTGGCCTCTGTTTGCTTCACTGCATTCAAATCAGGTTGGGTATAGAACACTGGTGTTCCGGGAGCCACATCCCTGCCTGTTTTTAACAACAAAGCAAACTCCCAGTTAGTCTGATTGGAGGAGAGGGTGGTTCATTTAAATGCAGATGAAAAGAAATAACAGATTAGTGGAAAGAGTACAAAGGGAAGGTTCGACACCTGTGTGTTGAAGGTGTGGCACAGAGGTCTCTGAGATCAAACCAACTGGTAGGCTGGGAAAGCACAAATGCAGCTCAACAACTTAGAACCTGATGTATTTATGCAGCACCTTCTCAAGCTCACGTGTTTGTGGGGCTGTTCATCCTCCATCCAGATAATCTGCCAGCAGATAAGAGCGTTTACTTGTGCTAGTTGTGCAGTCAGCAAGCAGAAGATTTGTTGAAGGCTAAAAGCCTGTTTCCAATGTAAAAACGTGTCTACTTTCCTCCTTTTAGAAATTCTAATGCTGCTTTTGATTTGTAGTGGGAATTTGAAATGTAAGGCATAGTTTGAGGTGAAATGAACGTTTTCTATGCAGCCACCTGAACAAAAACTCATCTGGTATAGGCTAGTTAAAATGACAGATTTTACTTCATGACAGTTTGCCTAGGTCTCAAAATCTAACAAACTTATTAGATTTCACTGTGCCAGTGTGTGGAAAACGAGTGTGCAGAATGAAGGAGAGCTCACTCTCCTCCTTCAGCATGTGTATGAAGATGCTTCACTTAATTAACAACTGTCTGCTGTCACTGTCAGAGAAGCTGTACCTTTTGGTTTACAGGATGGCCTGTACCCCTGTATAATAAACTTTTCCTCTTACATGTCCCTATAATGGTGTTTCTTCAAGTAGCATTAAATTAATCTACCAAAAATGAAATTGCCTTGCTTCCAACCCTCCCTCTTCCTGCTGCTCTCCGCCACTTTTCACCCAAGTGTCCGAGTTTCACGAGACTGAATTCCAGATATTAATATGAAAAGCACACAGAGATGTGGGGAGGATTTATAAAATTATATAAATGCATTTAATCTGGACTTGGCAACAAAACCATGAAAGAGTTATTTTAATAGATCCATCTTTTAATCTGCTTTTAATCATATTGTAATATTAATATTACAATAATAGTAATATTAAGGGGGGAAGTTGGCGTCTTTATAGAAACAACGTGGCTTTTGCCTTTGCTCTCTGACTGAAGGCAACTTTCAGAATAGAATTATGGAAGTTCTTAAAAGACAGCTTTGTACTGGCTTTTGAGGTGCAGTGACAGCTCATGTGCTCATAGACAAGAGAAGTAATTTATTAATATTTCTGTTAAGTTTGGAAATTGAAAGGGAACCAGCATGGCTTTAACTGAAAAAAAAAAAAAAAAGGAAATACGTGGTTAAACAGTTTTGGCTACTGTCTTAAGTGGTTTCCATTGTCCAGAAAGAGAAGAGGAGGTGGGAAAGGAGTCTTAAAATCCTTTCAGAGGTGAAAAAAATGTTCATTATCTGAGTTTTGATGGCATACTGAGTGCAGTGGGGCTGTGATTTGGGAGCAGGGGCAGAGTGCTCTTATCTCCGGAGGTCAGGCTGCGTGCCAGCAGTGCACGAGGAGCTTAGGGCAGGCAGTCAGCACCAGGAGTCCCAGCGGCTGTGGTGGCAGCTGCTTTCTCTTTTCCCCTCTGACTTCTGAAGAATTTCCAGCATTGTTCAGGCTTCCAGGTGACACCTAAGGCATTGAATTTGAAGTCCTGAGCCCTCGGCAGCTGTATCTTGGCTACCATCTGTTTGCACCGAGCTGGGAAGTTTGCATATAATGCACCAGCAGCTGTGGTGACCACGGCAGTTGGACAGCTACTGAAACAAGGCAGGTAGTGGCCACATAATATTCTTTGTCAGAGCAAGAAAAAAATATTCTCCTTCTGGACAACTTAAAAAGCTAGATTTTGTCATCTGTGGGAAGTCCTCTGTAACTTTTGATGTCCCAGGCTTTTGTTGTGGGCCAGAAGGTTAAGGGGGTGGCTAGGTGAAAGGTAAACCTCAAATGGAGAACAGCAAAGTGCTTGTTGGCTTCTGCAAAAAGCAACTTTTTAAGTAGTGTTAAAGTAGTGTTAGAGTACAGACTTTTTTGTCTTCACAGTTGGGGTATATTGCTTTTTTTCTCTTTTGAATTATTCTGCTGCCTTTTTAGAATCAAGTTTGTTCTCTTCTAATAGCCTCTCTAAGTGTCTTTCACTTCTGAACTAATTAAAGATGTCTGTTACATTGATGGTGTTTCGTTTACTTCTTGTGAGATGGATGAATATGGGCTGCTGGAAGGGAGTGATGTTATATTGATGTTACTTTCTGTAGGTTTAAAATGATTAACCATGAAATGAGGGCTGTGGGAGGTGGTTTCCTGGTAGTCCAGGTCTTACTCACGCTTGTTCTGATGATTCTGCTCGTAAAGGGCTGTTGGCCGGTAGACCTGCAGCCTGCATGGCATGCTAGCATCACAGACGACATGGGGTGATGACTTGTGACTGTGAATACAGGGACAAAAAAACAGCCTGTGCTCTTCTTGGTGTAGATCCTGCCCTAGGAGAGCTGCTACGAAGATGATGTACTTGAACTAACCTGGATTTCTTCATTATTGAGCTGTGTGTTGTAGTAATTAAAACTCACAGGGTATGTCACCTCATGCTGGGGTGCGATACGTGGTAAAAACCAAACTCAGAGCACAAATGCATATTTTCTTTGGTGAATGCTTGCTTGCCGGTTGGTTTCATGTTAGTTGTTCCCTTTTTTCCACTCATGGATTGCCTTTCACGTTGTTCAGTGTTTAGTTTTGTCAGGAGACCCTTTTTCCAAAGGGAGGCTAACCTGCGTTCTGTAGCCCTTGTATCTCTAAGCCTTTTCTTCTGTTTGGGTGACCTTAGCTGGTAAGTGTGGAACTGAGCAAGCAGGCACTGGAGGGGTGCTTTGAAACGTGCTATAGCTCTAAACATAATTACTCTTTGATGGGGATTTGCTAGAAGATGAATGTAGAACTATTAGAGGAGGAGGCACAGCGTGGAAATTCCCATGCATAGCTGGGCTGCTCCTGAAGCCTGAAAAGGCTGGGCAGGGCTTTGGATGTCGAGGCACCTTCTGAATCTGAGGCTGGTGCAGACCTGTGTGCATGGTTTGCCTCTCTGGCAATTCAGCATGGACAAACTTCTGTTCCATGAGGGGTTTTGACTTGCCAAGTAGGCTAAAATGACTACTGAAGGTGGATTTTTTCTTTACAATTTAGGTGATTTTACTGTGTTTGTTTCTTCCCCCCCGCCCTCCCTCCGGACTGATGTAATTAAATACAGTGTCCAACTCATTTAGTATTGTATATGCTTCTTCTAAAATTTCCCGTGTGGAGATTAATCTCTGGCCTTTAGAAGGGAAAACAGTTTTGCCTTAAATCACTGTATCATCTGCCTTTTTCTAGAAGCAGGGCCTTAAGCTCATGCATTAGTCCTTGCTGCTAGCTGAAGGTGGAAGCATTGTGCATGGTGGTGCTGCTCCAGATGGGCTTTGATTGTTTGCTGTTGTTTCTAGCATTTGTGAAAGACTTTTCCAAAGAATTGACACAGGAAGACTTTATTTTTAGCATGGGGGGGTGTGTGTGTATATATATATAGTATGTTTAACTGAACTCTGACTAGTTTGTAAATTTGAGGAGGACTAAAACTGGTGCTTGTTCTCTGTTGAAGGAGCTCATGTATTGGGGTAAAATAGAATGCTTCTTGGGAGGGAGTAGGAGAGCATGTGTTTGTTTAATCGTCTAAATGTGCTGTAGAGGATCGTCCCTGGCTGGCAACATGCCGCATTCTTTGTGACATGAAGGTAAGCTGACAAGAAAAACAGTTCCTTTAACTGAAAGCAGTAACAGAACTCTAACCAAATCCTGGTGCCCACCAGTTTATAAAATGAGAACATGGCTTAAATTCATTCCATCCAGTACAGTAGGCAGAAGTTAACAGCACTCGCTTGATTAAAACGAGTTCTTGGAAAGGAGTCAGGAGAAGCTGCTAAGTGGAATCTCATGTTACCAGTTGGTTTGGATGTTCTTCTAAGAATACATATAGAAACTTCCTGCCTTGCTGTTTTCATTGTGCAGGCACGTGTGTCAACGCTTTCAGATTCATAGCATGTGTGTCTGCTTTGATTTCAGGTGTACTTGAAGGCACCTATGATTCTCAATGGTGTCTGTGTAATCTGGAAAGGCTGGATAGATCTGCAGAGACTGGATGGTATGGGCTGCCTGGAGTTTGATGAAGAGAGAGCACAGGTAAGAGAGTCGGCCCACATGCCTTCAGACGTTTGCTTGTTCTCCTGGAAGGAAACGCGCAGTCAGGTAGCGGTCACACATTCTCATCTGCCTGTTCTCTGCCTTCAGGTACAAATTTCCAAGGAACCGTACAGTACGGAAGTTCAGAAATACATGGTTGTAGCTAAACTAGTGTTTTAATTAGATCAAAATATTAGGAGCTGGAATCATCTGCAATTTACAGCTTTGTGGGTGATTTAGCAGTGTGACGATATTACAGAATAGTAAATCTGAAAGTATTTGGAATGCTGTGGCTTTAACTTGTAACAATTTCACTGGCAAGTCTGTTTTAGCTGTTTACTTTAGAGTGGTTGGGGTTTTTTAAGTAGCTTTTTTTATTACACATGGAAAGGAGGATGAGTAGGGTTTTTTCATTTGTTCTCTAAGAGTGGTAGAATCTCAGCTCTGTTAGGGTGTAGCAGTTTTTGAGAACTTACTTTTTATCAACCTCCTTCCTACCACCAAAGTGACTGTCTAGTAGCTGAATCTTTGGAAGAGCACAAGAAATGAAGTAAACACAGAGGAGATTAATTTTTAAGTGCCCATCACATTTATAAAGTTCACTTATGCAGCTGTAGAGTTCCTTAATTTAGTCAGACTTGAGACAGATCTTGGCTTTTGTGATGTAGCTTGGTAACAAAGCCACTTAACTGATATTAAAACCCGCTGCTTGAAGTTTGTGTGGGCTTCCACGCAGATCACCTGTCTCTGCAGCAGACACTAAATGGGACTTAGCAACATCAGTTACCAGAATTTTGACTTACAGTCTGTATTTTGGGGTGAACTCAGCAGTTTATTCCTGTAGCTTGGTAATTTAAAAGTGTTGGAACTATATAAAGGCACAGTCCAAAGTGCTTCTGCGTTAAAGGTTTTGTTAAGTATGCAAAGAAAAGAAGAAGGGTGAGCAATTTCCTGCAGGCTTGTCTTTTTTCCTCCCCAAGTTCTACATGCAGATGATTCTTAATAACTGGCTCTGTACCTACATATAGCCATTTTCCCCCAACTTCTCTCTGAAGACTTCTTCTTTCACCCAAGACCATCAGTTTCCCGTAACTTTTCGGGGAAACTTGAGTAATTCACACAGAACCACCATTCAGTGTCTCCTAACTGGTAACTGTCTTTTTCATCTTGATAGCATAATAAAATTTGAGCTTTCTTTGTCTCCTTCCATTGTTCCCTTAAACTGGAGGATCCAAAGCAACTTGCTCCTGTGAATAGTTGAACTGGCTCTTGTGGCACTGGTGATTTCCTTTGTCTTGCTTTGTTCCTCCGTGTCTGTCATACATATGGAGGATTTTTGCAAAAACTTAATATTCACAAACTGTGTGCTTTTTCAAACTACCTTCACTTTCCCTTTGTGCCCTCTGGCAGTTGTGCAGTGGAACCGATTGAAGTAAAGATGCATTTTCTGCTGTGTGCCTCATTCTCAGCCCTCCCATCCTTGGGGTTTCCATTTTAGTCGTTCTACAGCCACAGTTGTTCACTACATAACAAATGGGAATATTCTGATTTCACCTAAGGACCAAGAGCACTCCTTCATTCCAGGCACACAGAAAGACCCCCCCAAGGACTGTGGAAGATAAACCCCAGGGATCTTGATCCATAACTGCTAAAATTTGATATGTAAGGTAGATATGATATGTAGGATAGGAGGTCTTTGTGTGCATGTGATGTATTCTCATTTTTCTTTTGCGAGGGGATACGTGCACCCTCTCAGGTGTCAGTGCTTGCTTGAGTGTTGAGTGCAGGGTGCTGAGCTGGAGGTGTTGCACAGTGTGGATCTACAGAGCTATGTTTGCACTCAGTTACTGGCACATCCTTTGTTTACAGTTTGCTCCTCAGTTATTACAAGGAAGTCATTGGTCATCTTACCTACTACAGTAGTAGTACCTAGGAGTTCTCAGTGTTGCAAGGCACTTCAGAGACACAGAAGTAGCTGCCCCTCTTGTATTTGTTAATATTATAAACACTGGGACAATCTTTTACATTCTGCAGTTTCCTTTTTCCTGTAGCTGTCAGTTTGCTTCCTTTTTTAAAAACTGTTTTAATGTTGCTAGTGGCAGTTGCCTGAACTGATGACTTTGCTCCCAAAATAACACAGGTGTCAGAATGTAGTGCCTCTGGATGAGTGGGGAGCTGTTTAAGCTTCTCCTCTGTTCGTTGCTCTGGGCTGGGGAGTTCTTACTTTGTTCTCATGTTGATATGGCTCCTATTTTGCTTATTCTTCTTTTTCCTACTAGATTGACACCAGGAGCACTTTTACTGATTAAAACTAAGATGGATAAATTATGTGGTCTCATACAGCCAAATTGGCTGGTTTATAATTATTAGAGCTAAGGGCCACCTGAAACAAGTTGGTTGAATTCTTTTTGTACAAGATACTGAGATGTTTGTTAATTTGTGTTCTAATGCATCACTGGGAATAGAGCAGAAATTTTTATTTTAACTTAAGAAAACAATGATGCTTTTTTCTCCCCATTTCTCAGACATTAGTAAAGCAACGTTTCAGCTGTCAACACGTGTTCCTTCTGGATGCCAACATGCTGATTCTTTTCATATGAATTTCTGATTTAGTTTCTTTTGGATATGACCATTTCTTTAAAATATTCTGGTTGTATGTTAGCTTTTTATTTCATGACCACTTTAAACGATGCTAACATGCAAAAATCTTTTATGGAAAGACCCTGCTTTCATTTAAGTCTGTTTTTAAAAAAAAAAAAAGTAGTAATGACATAGTTTTTGTGAATTTGCACTAAGGCAGCTTTTCTGTAGTCATCTGGGAGACGAGTTTATGTATTTTATCTCTGTCCTTCTGCATTATTGAGAACCAACTTCCTTTCCACTGCCTGACCTTGTTTCATATGCATTGCATGAGCATTAAGACCGCTATGAAAGGTCAAATTCTACTCTCAGAAATAGTGGGTAGTGTCAAAATGTTCTCTTATTGGCAGCTTTACACATTGCCTTTCGAGGCGGCTGCCTGGGGACCTGGCTGTGCACGGCTGCTGGCTGGCAGACGTGTGTATCTCGCCGTGAGGCCCCCAGGGATGCTCATCCACAGCACTTCACAAAGGAGCTTCGGGGTGCACGAGTGTGCCGGCGGCAAAAGAAGCCATTTAACATTCCCTCTGACCAGGGATGCTTTATCTTCAATTAAAAAATTCATACACTTAATCCCTTGGTATATTAAAATTGAGTTGGGCTCTCAACATGTTTGTGTCCTCTGACAGTCAAGGTTAGGATTTTCTGGGGTTTTTTGAAAATAAAACTATCAACTTGAAAATAACATTCATGTCTCTGTGGTAATTTTAAGCAGAGTTAACAGTAATTATAGCTGAGGAGTTTGAAGGAGGAAGAACCAATACAGTTGATCTCTTACTGTTTTGTGGAACCTCTTCAGACTTGACCCCTCCATTCTGAACATACTAAAATTCTGGTGGGGAACAGAGCCATTTCTTTTCATTCTGAGCAAAATACATGCTAAAATGTCTCTTTAAGAGAAATAGTTTGTACCCCAAATAATGGCTTGCATATTAATAACACTCAATTTAAAACCTCTTCTAACAGAAAACATTATTAAAAAGATTTTTTTGAGTAGTAATTTATTAAGTCTATTCCTGTGCATAAGCCATTGGTGAAAATAAGCAGGGATGCTGAAAATAAACAACGGGGCTGTTGAAATCCTATGGGTTTCCTCTGTGTTTTATGGTAACGTGTACAAATTAGAGGAGGAACAACTTCTGCTTTGCACTTTCTTATTGATCTGGATTTAAAGAAATGATCCGTAGGGATTACAAATGTTCCTAATGATGCATCTTCAGCAGCTTTTGATAAAATGGAGGATTTGTTTGGTTTGTAACTTAGATGATACAGTTTTTAAATGAAAGAGAACTAAATTACCATTATTTATCTAATGCTACTGAACTTGTATCTAGGTGCACCTTTGAATACTGTCTTCAAAATTACTTTTTAAGAGACAATACATTTTATTTTTTGTATAAACTTTTGACATTTCCTAGCTTTTAAAACTACAGCAGCATTTTAAACTACTCTGGAAAAGCAGCTGCCCTTTGAAAATGTATTTTAGCAGTAGCTGCATTTCAGCTTTGATTATCTCTGCTGCAGTGATGGAGGTGAGTATTATTTAATGAACCTATATTGGCATTTGCTGGAACTCATCCCTGTTCTAGCAGGTTCTGTAGGATATACTTGCCTTTGCTGCCAAGTGATCCCAAATATTCCAAAGAAATGTGATGTGGCAGAAATGGGGGGTAGGTAGCCTCTGGTGTCACTCTGTGTTGTCTGGTTTGGTAGCAGGAGGATGCATTGGCACAACAAGCCTTTGAAGAAGCTCGGCGAAGAACTCGTGAGTTCGAGGATAGAGACAGGTCTCATCGGGAGGAAATGGAGGTGAGGGTTTCACAGCTGCTGTCAGTAACTGGTTAGTACTTTCCCAAAACTTCAGATTGTTTCCATTTATTTGTCTGTTTGTACAATGTTGTGTATTTGTTTGTTGTTGTCTTGTAAAAATTGTGAAATGCATTGTTTTTTAACTCTTGTGAAATGAATTTCAAGTTTTTTAAGTTTGGAGGAGAATTCTCTGAATTGATCCTTTTTTTCCTTTCTGTAGACGGCCTTTTTGGTGGGTACTTGAACTGGAAGGATGCCGTTGTTCAGAGCTGCCCATATATACTTGACTCAACTGATACTTAAATTGCAGAGAGGGGAGTCTTTTGCCCCATGCATTTCTCCTGAACACAGGAGAAGCTTTGGGAGCTGCAGGCACATAATTCTGTAGCTTGCTATCCCATGTTGTGGCAGATATTACCTGTGAATTTAATCAGATGCCCTGGTCTGATTTCTCATACAGGCTAGTTTTATTTTCCCCTCACTTTTTTCATACTGGTGGGGATCCTTACTCTTCTGTCTCACTGATGTAGCTCCTCCTGTCTTGTTCCTTGCTTCTTTAGGGCCCCACAGTCTTGAATCTTGTTCTTTCTTGATGAGAGCAGAAATTACCGAGATCAAGAAAAGAGGAGCCAGAAAAGGGAATGGAAACCAGCTGCTCTGAGATGTCAAGGAAGGCAAGAGCTGTAAGGGATGAGTAATACATGAGAACTGGCAAGTTAAGGCAAGCTGTAGGTCAGGCAGAGAATAGAGAGGAAACAAAAACACTTTGAATTTCTTTCCCTCCCTGTTTCCTACTTCATCAGCACAGGCTGACTTTGCTGTAATCAAATGGGATCAGTCTGCTGTTTCTCAGGCTTTTACAAAATTTGGTTATTGGTACTGCTAAGCTACTTGTCTTCTGTCATCCTTACTGGTAATTGAGATGGTCAGACAGGCTCTCTTCCCTTCCAAGTACAATTGGAAGACACTGAGCATGAGGGTGAGAGGGAAAAGGCAGATGCAGAGAGTAGTACCTCTCACTTTGAAGGGATGGCTGGTTTGGGTCTCCTTGCAAACACTGATGTAGCCAGGTCAGTTGTCAGCTGTAGCAAAGGTAAAATCCTTCCCTTGGAGGCCTCACTACTGCTGGATGTGTGGAACAGCAGCTAAATTACTCAAATCTTTCTGACTCTGTCACAGCAGAGCTAAAACCTGCTTGTAAGTTCATCTCAAAAGGGAGGCAGAATTATAACTTCAAGCTGTTTATGAAGATCTGTGGCAGACTGCCTTAATTTTAACAACACAGTAGGAATTTTAAGCCCAGCCTTATGTCCTTGACCTCAATTTACTTGAAGATTTTCTTGATTTATTTTCCTTTTCTGTGCCTTTCTTTCCCACTCCTATTACTACAGAGAAGAAGCCCTGTGCTTACTGAATGCTGAAAGTTAAAAAAGAATGAGGCTTCCTGAAATAACTTAGAGTTCTTTGAGGCTTATTCTTTCCTCCAAGTGTAGAAAACAGTTACTTACAACAGGAATGCACAAAACCTCTTTCAATTAGCAGTGAGACTGAGGTAATATCGAGCATCTGGGGCTTCATGACAGACATCAAAACTTGTGACACTGAGACACAAAAAGCAACATCCCTGGGCAGCTGCAGGAGCTGGATTCAATAACTTCTGAGAAGACTCTTGCTTTTAATAAGGCAGCAGGCAGTTGTTATTAAACGATGTCCTTATTAGTTGCCAGTACCCATTTTCTTTTGAAACAACAACAGTTATTGTCCCAGCTCTAAAGCACTGGTGTAGTTCACCTACAGAAAGGAAGAAAAGGGAAAATTACTGACTCAAAATAAGTTTAAGCAAAATGAAAAACGTTGTCAAAAGGTACTTCAGAGTTACGTGCTGTCAAATACAGGGTTTTAATAATGATAATACATCTCGTGCATACTTGATTTTTTTTTTTTTTTTGTTTAATGTGCATGTTTAATATGTTTAACCAAAATATTTTTGCTTTGATTGCTTGCAGTTCTATAATTGATGCTTACATTTTGTTTTTCATTTGTGTATTTGGGGGAAGATGGCCTGGCCATATCTCTGGAATGTTCACAGATGAACTTTTGCAGTATGGATCTTAGGACTGTGTAAAAGTCAGGGTAGTTTGGGGTGGGGCAAGGGAGAGAACAGATAGAGACTTACAATGAGTTCCTAAGGAGGAATCGAGTTTTCCTGACACTTCAGTTGTATCCTCCTGCAGCAGCTGGGCAGAATCAAATGATCTTTCATCAGCAAACATTTGCATAAGGGGCTCATCATGATCATCATATAGAATTCTCAGTAGAAAGTAACACAGACTTGTGTTCCTGTGTTTGTATTCATGGCCTGTATGGAATTTTCCAATGCTTACATGCTCAGTCAGCTTGGAAATGGGGGTTTGTGGGTTGAACCCCTCTGAGGGTTGCATTGCTGACAGCTAGAACAACATCAGCGAGCTGCTTTGTGCACTGGGTGATTTCAACAGGTCAGATAGTGTCTGTGGTTGCACTGCAGAGATGGTGCTTGCAGGTTTTCATAGGGCAGCTGAGAAAGGTGGGTTCTAAGCGTGCTGAGTGAATTTTTATGTCTTACACTACATGGAGATGAAGGTCCCCTCAGCATAATCTTTTTGATGTTATCTATATACCTTTCATAGTTACTAAAACTTTTTATACATTTTTTTTCTTTCCTGCTAAGCTTGGTGTGGACAGTAAAACTTGGAATTGTTAGATCTGGAACAGGATTTCATCAGTGTTAATGGTTATTTGAGGATTTGCAACACCGTATAAAATCAGTCTATTTCAGACAGTAGAATTACAACTGAAATGCCTTTAATAGAGACCAGATTCTGCTTCTAGTGGGGGACGGAAGGGGAATCCTGCAGTATTCCACCCCCTCCTACCAAAAAGAGAGGCGCCAGCTCTTTGGAAACATTTATCCATCCAAAGCCTGGCAACATATGAAAATGATCAGATTCAGTTCTTTATTTATACAGCTTTCTGCGTAGAAAAGATTCCCTATTCTCAGTCTCTCTGTTGACTCCTTTGAAACAAAAGTGGTATGTCCTTGCCTAGGAGTGATCAGCAAAGGTTGTTGAAAACAGTTAAAATGCCTTGTCTGTGGCAGCTGGATTTTAGAGTGGTGATACTTCAAAGGGGGGGGCATAGCAAGTTCAACAACAATTTAGGAATAATTGCTATACTAAATTTCATTTTTAAGTATCCTAAAAAAAAGCACCAACCTGTCACAACAAAACCTCCAACAAAAAACCCTCAGTACTCTCAGGTTTGTATCCCTTTCACTGATGACTTAATTAGCACAACAAATCTTTCTTTTGATGAACATTATTCTTTGCATCTAAGGGCAGCACCAGTAGGTTGTGCTTGAGTTTCTAGATGTGATCATATTCTTTTGTGCAATTGCAGGACTCTTCTCATGTAAATAGGGGGTGAGTGGATTTAGGAATTTTCTTTGGAAGTGCCTCTGAGTTTATTTTTAATATAGTTTGTTTTGGATGCAAGACCCTTTTGAGTTCTTCTATCAACTTTTGCAGCTTGATCACATCAGATGCCGCAGATCCTGCTGCACTGTTCGGGATTCTTTGGTTTCAAAGATGCTTTTGAAGTCAGTGAGTGTTTCTAATTAATGCCTTCAAAATTAATAATGTCTTCCTATGACTTTCACTTTTACGAAAACATTGGAATGCTGGGACAGTAAATGTTTAATGATACACATGAAGAAAGACCTTATCCCCAGCTAAAGACTATTGTAAAAATAAACATTGTGTGAAGCTTCACAAGTTTGGGAGCTCTGAGCTGCTTGGAAGCTTGCACTATTTAGTGGCTTTGTACCAGTCAAGGTTCTCTTTCCATGTGCAAGTGCCACACCATGAGGAGCTTGGTCCAAGGCCAGTAATTTTGGGGGATGTTCTGGAACTGATGCCATTGATGGGTTGTATGAACTTGAAACAGTTGTAGGTTTCCTTTTGTCCAACAGAGAAGAGAGTGAGGAGGCTGAAATGATATCAGTGAGGCATATGGGAGGCAGGTGCTGAATTTTGAGTCTTTATCCCCTTGTGTCTTGGTTAAGAGAGTCAGTTCTCCTGCTTTCTCCTATATAGTATGGCTTCAGTGTCAGGATAAGGGAGTGTTCTGCAGAACCTGCTGCGAGGTTGCTGTCTGGATGTGCTTGAATCTTCCAGTAAAAGCTTCTGCTTTTTATTCAGTGTTCTGGCCATAGTAGCATAATGCAAAATGCGTTATGCTGTCCAGAGTGATTTTGGGGGATTTAAACAGCCCTCAGTTGGTGAAATCAGAATACATGGAAAATAACAGCCTGTGTTCAGCTTAAAAAAGCAGCAAGCAGGTGCCTCCTGCCAGCTCCTTGCTAGAGCAGAAGGTATGAAGTGGGGGATTTTCAAGGGAAGAGGCTGTTTTGTATGTTGCTGTGTGCAGGCAGTTTTTTGGTGAAGGTTTGTTTTGTGTAGGCAAACTCTAACTTCAAAATTTTTGTATTTAAGTGTGCAGTTTGTCCTACTGTTACTCATGAGCTTAGCTAAGGACATTCTTCTGATAGCTTTCCTTGGGGGTGGGTTGGGTCTCTTCTCTCAATTCTCCAGTGTAATTTGTTCAACCAGCATTTTCTAAATGTCATATTTTTCTATTTTGTGTTCATTTCCCACGTAACTGTCATACTCATTAATTTAGCAACACTGTGAGGAAGGAGGCAGAGTGGCTTGCTCTTCCCTGAATCAGTCTCATCTAGCAGTCTGTTTGTGGTCTTGGGCTAAATTTAAGTTACATTAATGGCTAAGCAGAGCCATTTTGGGAAACTGTATGAAATTCCCATTTGAAAAACTTTCATTTTGCTGGGAAAAAAAATATATTTTGAAACAAAGCACCAAAAACTCCCACCAACCTTTTAAGAATTTCTGGAGTAAAAATTTACCTGATTTTAAATACTCAGTCCTGCCCTAGGTTTCCACAAG